GCAAATGACGTTAAACGACTTCATCAGGAGGTACGTTGCTCCCAATTTCGTGCTCGATGAAGAACACAATGTAATGATGGGGGTGTTTATTCAGGGGCCTGAGGATTGCATCAGTGACGAGCGGCTCCTACGAAGAATTCGTAATTTACCAGAGTATCAGTTCCTGTTTGACGCACGCCGGCTAATGGAGCTTGACGTGGGTAATCTCCAACGCTGGGGGGATTTTGAACATAAGGAAATTGTTTTTCCTATTACAAGGACAAAACTCAACAATGCCCTTGCCGCGGCGGAGGCAAACGAAAGGGCAAGGCAGGAAGCCGCGGTGACGGTTGCGCCGGTGCCGGTGGAGGGTGTATACAACTCTGTGTTCAACGCGAAGTGGGGCTACGTGGAGTCGGGCCACGCCGCGGAGCCGCTGGGGATGAGGGTGGTGGAGGCCAACGCAACCGAGCCGGAGAAAATGTGGAGTGAGAGTGAGGTGAACGTCATACCTCGTCCTGAGGAGATAGACGTGATCGAAGAGGATGAGGAAGAGGAGGATGAGGGAGAGGCCAGTGGTGCGCGGCTGGAGTTTCTGGTGCTAACTTCTGAGAAAGGGTGGCCGTACAAAAAGTTTGATGTAACTTTCAAGGACGTATTTGTGCGCAAGGAGGTGCTGCGTGTGTGGAATGTCCTCAAAGAAGATATCGACGGCTGGCCCACCGCTGCTGGCGCCAGGCTCGGGAGACGGGCGTACGCTGTGGTCGGAACGCCCGGCATCGGCAAGTCGCTGGCGGTGGGGTCCTTCGTGCTGCACAAACTCCTACAATACGATCCGGCGAAGATCGCGGTGGTGGCCTACTTTGTGGAAGGGTCAATGTACCTTTTTCGCAAAACAGGAGAACAGGCAGGGACCGTGGTGGAATATAAAACCCCACTTCACGGTATGTTGGCTATCCAGGCGTTAGATGAAAGGCAAGTTGCGGGTTACTACATTTTTGATGTGACTAAGGAACGTCGTCCTTCGGATGCACTGCCTTGTAAACATTGGGGTGGAATTGTGCTGACGTCGCCTGCTGGAATAAACTATGAGGATTGGATGAAACAGCGGGAAGCGGACCACATTTTCGTCAACTGCTACACTGCACGAGAGATGAAGGCGTTCTATGCATGGCAGGCACACAACTCGCCGCGTGACCCGCAATTAAGCGAGGAAGTAAGAAAAAGAGAGCTTGAGAAAGGATGGAAGAATTTGCTGAAGCGACGCATTTATGAGGTTGGGCCACTTCCTCGCTTTGTTTTTAGAGAGAAGGCGTATGAAGGACGGCGGAGTGCAATTATAAAGATGGAGAATGCTGTGACAGAAAGAGAGAGTGAGCATTATATCAAGGTGCTTCTGCACACGGCTGACTGGTACGAGGACGGGAGCACGCACAAACTGGTCAAGCTTGTGCGTGTGCTGGAGGAGAAAAGTACGATAGCGCCGGCGTCGGCGGTGTCGCCGGTGGCGCTGACGATGGTGCAGGGAAGGGCGGTGAGGGAGGAGGCGGAGAGCTCCAGAAATCGTCCCGTTTCGCCTTGGATTGAAAGAAGACTGTTGGAACTGGTGACGGGAAAAAACCTTCTGTCGTCTACCTTGGGGCAAGTGCTTGGGACGAAAGCGGAAGTTTCTGCTTGGGAGCTCGAACGCTTTGGGTGCTTTGCGTTTATGTCAGAAGATGTCGCCGATACGATTATTGGCAAGATGAAGTACCTTCCACGCACCGTGGGAGATGAGCGTCCCAGTGTGTTGGCAGACAAAAACACAGTGGGTCGCGTTCCGAGTGAGCGCTGCATATTTGATCACAGAAAGGGAACCGATAATATTCCGGGTGCCGTTGCTAGGATGCTGCAAGTTGGTGTATTGTATAAACCACTGTCGAACTACTTCCCCGTTTTGGACGCATTCTACTTGGTCGAGCGGAAACGCGCGGCAGCTGCCAAGAAGAAATCCGGGCAGGCCAGCGACACTCCCACCGGTGACCAGAGCAGCGCCGAGAGGGTAATTACGTTTATCGGGCTGCAGGTGACAAGGCAAGATACTCACAACACCACCGCCAGTAAGATGGCTTCATTTATGGAATACATGACACTCAACTTCAATAACTGGGAGGTGCTGAAGAGAACAATGGAGTGGGAGTTCATTTACATCCAGCACGCTGATAGCACGCCGATGACGAGAAGGCAACGGGGCACTGACCAAGGCAAAAGTACGTCGGATCCTCAAGCTCCCGAGAACTTGAGCGAGCCAAGGGTGGAGCAGTACCAGGTGCAACTTGACGCGGAGATTGCTGCCCAGCTGTTTGCTGCTTTCAAGAGAAATAACGTGGGTGTGGGTTGTGGCGGGGGTGTGGGGCGTGCGGTTAGCCGGCCGCCGTGACTGTGCGCCGGGTTGCGGGGGCGTGGGCTTCTCGTGTTTCAAGCCGTCCGTTCAGCGCATTTGTGCCTTTCTTATGGAACACAGGGGGGCGGCATGGCTGTGAGTGAGGGGAAAGACAAGTATTTTTTTTGTGTGCCTGTGTGTTTCTCCGTCATTATTGAGCGGTGCACACTTGACATGACTGCGGTTGGCGCAGTGTGCAGAGTGGCGGCGTTGTGGGCGGGGGACTTCGCAGACAGAAGCCCGCGGGAGGCACTTGCCCCCCAGGCGGCGCCAAACAGATGAGGGATAGTTTTGTGCGGCTCCCCTGTTTCTTTGCCGACGGCTTTTATTTTCTGTTTCTCTCTTTGCCGCGCTGAAGAGCGGCGCAAGTGTTGTAGTTTTTTTTATTTTTATTTTTTATTTTTATTCTTCTTTCTGCCCCAACCCCCCGCTGCTTCTGCTTCTGCTGCTGCGACGTGCGCCCTCCACGCGGAAGGGCGTCTGTTGGCGGCGGGCCCCGCAGACCGTCACTCAGTGAAATCCCCAACGGGAGCCCAGACATCACGGCCGTGTGTATTTTGGGCCCATGAGTTGTGTGGCTGCGTGGGCGTGGGTGCAGCCTCGTTCTTTTCTGCGGGGGACTTTGGGGCGCAGCGGGCCAAACTGTAATTCCCCCACTGTGGGGCCTTCTTTCTCTCTTTTAGGAATAGGAACTATATGCCCCAGCCAGAGAAGCATATCATATATATATATATATA